ATGTGAACCAAAGGGATGCGGCTCTACTCCGTCGGCCCAACTTTGCTCACCCGGACGTCGGCTCACTGTTGTCGGCCACGGAGTCGGACACTCCCTCTGAATATATGGACCCATTGCATAACACACCGGCGATGCCTATATTGCCTGATATGCCCACCAGATCTCGAAAGCTTCTCGAAGATCTTGGAAGCACTTCCATAATGGGAGGGCCGGGAGGAGGAGGTATGAAATTTGGAAATTATTAATTTATTAAACTATTAATCTTGCTGAATATAATGGAATATGTGAGAATTGATTATGGTATCATATAAATCATGGTTTAGTGCACGTTAATGACATTTATTGTCTTAGTTATGGAGTGTTAAAATGAAAAGTGATTTAACGTTTGAATATGTTGTCCAACAGGTCATCGCTCGGGTTATAGTCATTTAGAGCATAATATGATGAGAGGATCGCCTAAGAAAACACAAGTAAGGACTACGGCATCCGTTTGCAAAAGAGCGCACAATATTACTAACTCAACAAAATATTAAACCAGAATTTCTATACTTTTATATTAAATCATATTGTGTTTTGACTCTAGTTTAATGCTTTGATGATTTATATACTTTTATAATATACTAGTTGATACTTTCTAATATATAATAATAATTAATTTTGTTTGAACTTTAACTTAACAATAATTATAAGCTATAATAGTTTTGGTCACAAAATAGACAACTTGAGACCCATACTTACTTTTACGAGACTAAACAATATATATCTGAAAGCTATAGAGAACTGAATGCAAACTTACTGGCTTAACATGCTAACCAAACTGTCTAACACTAAGCAATGTCTAACTGAAAACTCGGGGCACGACACGGTCGGGCGCCCTACCATTCATATGTTACAGTTCGCACCGAACACAACGAAATATCCCAAATACCCGTTTCCAGTAAAACGAATACTTCTAACTCAAGATCCAAAGATACGGTCAGTTAGTGGTAAGTGTCTTAAGAAAACAAACCAAAAACACAAAAATCCAAAAACTCAACGACAATCTTATAATCCACTAAATATTAGACACCATGTAATGAAGGGGCAACCAATTGAGAGCACAAATGAAACGCTGATTAATTAATTGAAACATTTATTAGTTATGAACGCTATTGTCTCTCAATGTTGTCTTTAGTCTTACATAATATGTTTCTCTCTATTTATCTGTTTTATAATTATTTACATCTCTTTTATAGTCTCCTCTGTAGTCTCTCTAGTCTTTTGTGACAATCAATGTTCTTATAGTATTGAGTGTCCGGTATTTCTATTCATTTCTTTGTTTGTCATTCATTTTCGCATTTATATTGTTATGTATGTCTAGTTTACTAACTAATTGTTTTCACAAATAAGATTTTAATTATTGTCACTATTTGTGTGTCCGATCCATAGGTAATGGACTTGGTTTGAAGGTTGTCGGCGGACAGGAGATACCCGGAAGTAATATGATTGGAGCATACATTCAAAAAATACATCCAAGCCTTACAATGATGGGAGAGATTAGAGAAGGTATTCATGAATACATCAATGTTTATCTAATACAGTATTACTGACTATAATTTAATTATACTCTATTTACCTTTAGTCCAATTTTGACAATGTTTTTATTTTTGTTATACAGTATAGAGACATAAAGTTGTCTATGTAATTCAATCGATTTAGGAATTTAATCTCATTTTTTATTTTTATTACAAAAGTTTGTCTTAAAAACTTTTATTTTTGATTTATTGTTTTCATGTTTCAAATACATTACGTGACAATTGGTGTGGTTTTTTCATTTCCGAGACGTGATTAGATATATTCTCCCGGGAGTTAGGAATTTCCAGAATATATTTAATGACATTTTATATTCAAGTGTGACTTACTTCTCAAAATATATTTTATTATAAATCACCAAGACCATGCACTGACTTGAATAAATAACATATGAAACTTAATTCTTGAAATGTCATGAATGGGAGTGTAGGAAACAGAGACCAAGTGTCCCCTCTCAACCCAATAGTACTGCACAAACTGATCCTATAGACTGATCCTGATCCTATTAGTTGAAAAT